GTGGAGGGGATAGGTGGGAGGAAGAACAGGTTAGGGAGGCAGGGACGAGCTGGACTGGTTTTGGGATGCGGTGGGGGGAGGGGAGATTTTGAAACTTGTGAAATCCACATTGATACCATTGGGCTGCAGGGTTCCCAAGCGGAATATGAGTTGCTGTTCCTGCAACCTTCGGGTGGCATCGTTGTGGCACTGCAGGAGGCCCAGGATGGACATGTCGTCTGAGGAATGGGAGGGGGAGTTGAAATGGTTCGCGACTGGGAGGTGCAGTTGTTTGTTGCGAACCGAGCGTAGGTGTTCTGCAAAGCGGGTCTAGGCCCGAAACGTCAGCCTCTCTGCTCCTATGATGCTGCTTGGCCTGCTGTGTTCATCCAGCCCTGCACCTTGTTTTCTCTGCTTAGATTCACTTTTGTGGAGAAAATGCACTTTTAGCTAATAAATCTTAGTTTTTGAAGACAAAGCAGTAAGTTTTGAGATGTTCAGATGGCTGTCATTCCAACATTTTGTCATTTGTAGACCGGTGTCACCAAACGTAGGCAGATGTCTCTGGGGTCTTGTCAGTAGTAGTTTACACAGGAAACACCGAGAGGTTTTTCCAGTTGCTGTACAAGAGGACAGTCAGGTTTCGCAGTGAATTCACCTGAAACAGAAGATGTGGCTTAAGCAGCGTGTTCTTTAACAAGCTCCCTCCAAAATTGAAAGTCTGAAACCACCAGAAGCCTGCAAAGCATGAAACAGAGCAGTCATAAAACCCAACTGTAAAAATTGTCGTGTTTTCCCTGAAGTGAATTCAAGCACCAAACTCAGCAGTTATCTGGAACCACGTGAATGCCAAGAAATTCGTTGTTAAACAAAAATTCCAAAGTATCTTGCAAAAAACTTGAAATAAAAATTCCAGGTATCTCCACACACCTTCAAGTTCAAGTCCATAAAAATTGTTAAATACGAAGCCATCATAAATCATGCTCAGTTTAAAAACTTGAGCATATTTAGCTTGGGCCATTCAAAGTCTAGGGCCTTACAAATATTTCAGGGATGCAAAGTAGATGGTAGAAGATTTTTAAGATGAAAAAGGAAGGAATCTACAAATTTGATTTCCTCCATCAGTGAAATTGTTCATTTCTCATAAGCCATATATGTCAACGTAGCGCGGCTGTGATTGTCTGTGTGTGATTTACAGAGGCCAGACTGGAGAAGAACCCTGTAGCTACTTTTCTCTTGACAATAAAGCATTTCATAAGAAGGCATCCAATCAATCAAGAGAACCTGCTTCACAGTCATGGAGTTGCCACTTTAGGCGCCTTGCTACAGAAGGTAGGGAACCTCTGTCCTGTACATCCTAAAATAATTACTGAGAGAAAATTTGCATAATGCTAGTAGAAGTCAATTTAAACAGCTGTTGATACACCTAAGAGGTATTTCATGAAATGAACAAATGTTAAAATTGAATTTATTAGGTAAAGTGCATCATACTGTACAACATCAAACAAAATGTGTTACGACTGGTTAGAGATCAGTAGGGGAGGCAAGGTTAATTTAGTCAGAGATAGCAAGAACTGCAGATGCTGGGAGTCAGAGGCAACACAGTGTGGAGCTGGAGGAATTCAGCAGGCCAGGCAGCGTTAGAGGAGCAGGGCGGCACGGTGGCTCAGTGGTTAGCACTGCTGCCTCACAGCGCCAGGGACCCGGTTTCAATTCTACTCTCGGGGCAACTGTCTGTGTGGAGTTTGCACATTCTCCCCGTGTCTGCATGGGTTTCCTCCCACAGTCGAAAGATGTGCAAGTTAGGGTGGATTGGCCGTGCTAAATTACCCATAGTGGTTCAGGGTGGTGGGTCTGGGTGGGATGCTCTGAGGGTCAGTGTGGACTTATTGGGCCGAAGGGCCTGTTTCCACCCTGTAGGCATTCTATGATGTTGATCTATGATGAAATATTCTCTGTTAGTCGGTGTGATTGTATTTTATACAGCAAGTAAAGAACTCTACTAGGCCAACAGGATAATGAAGCTGAAGTAGTAGCCAGAGAAAGAAAGAGAGTGATGGTAGGGAATGGAGTTTGTAATGGGGACCAAAGACAATGGCTTTTGGTTTCCCGGTATTTAATTAGAGGAAATGTCTGCTTATCCATGTTGGACAGGAAGTCAGATAGTTTAGAGACATAGGAGAAGTCAAGAGAGACGGGAAAGGGGTAGAATTGAGTATTTTGTTTTACTGGTTCATGGGATTTGAGCATTGCTGCCTGAGCCAGCATTTATTGCTCCTCATCACAAATTACCCAGAGGGGAGTTAAGAGTCAACTAGTTTTCTGTGGGTCTGGAGTCACAAAGGCCAAGCCTGGTAAGGATGGCAGATAGCTTTCCCTAAGCACAAGTGAACTAGATGGTTTTAAAAAACCACCAGCAGTGACTAAATGGTCTCCATTAGGCCAGATTTTCTTTTCAAAATTTAAATTTCAGCATCTACCATAAGATTTGAGACCATGTCCCCAGAACATTAGCCCTGGGTTTTGAATTACTAGTCCAGTGACATTACCACTGACTGCCTCACACTACAGCATCTGTGCGAAATTTACTAAGTGGAAAAGACCAGCTTGTGCTCAAGCCTGCTTGTTGTCGTAAAGAGCAAGCTTTCTGGCCAAATCAGTGGTTTCAGTGTGTACTTTGTCTGGTAAAACACATTGACCTGTAGTGGTTTCTCTTTACACTTGTGTGTATGTTTGAAGGAGATCAAATTGTAATGTATTTTAAACGCCTTGCGTGACAGATGCCAAGTAGTTTAGCGGATGTGAACATGCTGGTGGCTGTGCAGTTACTGATTGAACAAGCAAACGTTGAGAAGAATACGCAGCTCCTGCATCAGATGTATCAACATCTGCTGTTTGACTTTCGAATCTGGAGCCATGGGGATTTCCCATTCCGAATTGGCAAGTACATTTTCTCAGCCACTGTAATGGATATAACTCAAGTGAGATGCAACACAGAGAAATAGATTAATACGCGCACACCCCTATACTTTTGAAATGTAGATATATTGTAATGTAGGAAATACAGCATTTTACCTTTTACAATGGAGCAAATCTTCATCCTCCACTGACAGTATGTACCAGAGTGTTAGCTGGGAATTTGTCCTCGAGACCCTGGAGTGAAACTTGCACTAAAATCTTTAGATTCAAAGGTTAGAAGGCTATCAATAGCAAGTCTCACATTCCTTGCTGCCCAAACAGGAAAGTGTTCTGTTATCTTGCAGACAGAAACTAACAATTTTCAACTGTTTTAACAATTTACAACTCCATTGTAAAAGGTAAAATTCCATGCAAATATGCATGGAATACATGGGTATAATTTTAATACTGAATTTACATTTACACTTCACAAATACCATTGGCTGCCAAACATCATTTTAAATTAGGGTGGAGTTGGATTATAGACTGGTTTAGTTTGCTGCCCTCTAAGCGTTGTCCAAATATCCGATGGGAAATTATACTGAGCTGTCCCTGTAAAATGGTATAGAAAATGGTAAATGCACATTGTCTTATGAGGAAAAATGGCCCAAGTTTAAAATTGGTGAAGTTTTACTGGGAGCAGCTTTAATCCTTAGCTTGCCACATAATACTTAATAAAATTGCACAAAAGGAGGCCACTTGACCATTTGTGCCTTATTTTATGACTCTGAAAGAATTATCCAAATATGTGTTTCTTCTCCTGAACCCTGCACCTTTTTTTGAAAAATATTTATTCAGTTTGCTTTTGAAAGCAAGAAATGAATCTGCTTCCTCTATCTCTTCTAGCAGTGCATCCCAAAACATTTATGGTATGGAATAATTTCTCGCCTCCCCTCTGAACACTTTTCCAATTATCTTAATATGTGACTCTGAATTTGGTCCCCCAAAGTGGGATCAGATTTAATTCCTCCGTATTGATACCCCTCATTTGATGGGCACAAAAATAGTCACCATGTCTCCTTTAAAACTGAAAAGTAACATTGTTCCTGCCTTAACAATTCTTGCTTCCTTTCTTTATAATTTTTGCACTGTTTATAAAAACTTGGAAGTGTAAATGCTTGTTTTTATATGGTGTGAAAGTAATATGAAGGTGCATCCCTTATGCCAGACTTTACAGTAGTCATCTTCCTGTGGGAGTTGTAATACTTGCTTCAACACCTAATTCTGTAAAGCCTGTTTTTGTGCTCTTGTGTAAATAAATGATTGTGAGAGGAGTTAAGCAAATCTGAATCTCTGGGAGGTCCTTTTAAGTTGCTAACCTTGAGCTTTGTGACATATCCTAAACCTAATTTTATGACTATCTTGCAGCTGTCTTTTATTGAGTCCTGTCATAAAAGCGTAACCAGTTTTCTATTTCAGGCCATATTCAGTACTTATCCACAATCATCAAAGACAATCGGAAACTTTTTAGGAAGAAGTATGGGGTCCAATTTTTGCTTGATGTGATCCGGATGTTTTACAGGTGGAGTGTTCTGCCCTCTTCTTTGCTATTTTTTAAAAGAATGAATATTGTTTATAAACGCTAAGCAACAACTCAATACTCTCAATCCAATGTGGAAATACCTGACTGCTTTGCATTCTTTGACACTTCTAGCAGCTCAGATAAAGACAGTGACTTGTCCACAGATGATGTGAAGACTATCCGCGCTTCTCTGTATGGACTAATTAAGTACTTCATCAGCAAAGGGGTGACACAGGAAGAGGTCCAGAGCATCATGGGATACATTGCTGCCATCAATGATGAACAGCAGGTAAAGGAGGGATTTTATTTATTCCACAAGACCTTTACCTCAAAGGCGTTTGGTAATACTGAGCTAAGTATTGGTGATAAAAGGCACATTTTGTCAAAGGTCTTTGTCTTGCAAAATGTCCTGACAACTACAAGATGAAAAACTTCAGCCAAGTGTGTCTTTTCACACATTGTGGCCATACCACTAATTCAAACAGCTAGCTACATTGGAATACCACTATCTGTAAGTTCTTGTCCAAGGTATTCGCCATCCTGACTTTGAAATAGTTTGCCATTTCTTTGGTATTGCTAGGTCAAAATCCTGAAAGCCCCTTCCTAACAGCATTGTGGGTGCCTACACCACATGAACTGTAGTGGTTCAAGAAGGCAGGTCATCACGGCTACCTCAGGGCGTCTAGGGATGGGCAATAAATGCTGGTCAGCCAGTGATGCCCACATCCTGAGTGAATTTTCAAAAAACACTAACTATCTCACTCTTTTGCCTCATACCCAAATAGCTGCAAGTTTCACTTGTTCAAGAGTTTATCCAATTCCATTTTGAAAGTTAATATTGCATCTGCTGCCACCACTCTTTCAGGCAGCTTATTCAAATGCTACGAAATAACCACTTGTTCTGTATTCTTTCATGCGATGTGGGTAAATCTGCCAAGACCATATTTATTACCCAATCCTAACTGCCCTTGGAAAAGATGATGTTGATTTGCTTCCTTGAAATCCTGTGGTCCATGTGGTGTTGGCGAATGCATAATGACGTAAGCTTGGGAGTTCCAAGTTTTTGATCTAACAGCAACAGCCATGAGCTGGCAGGGGCTCGGATGACATGGAGTGAATAGTTTAGTCAACCATATCCTCCAATCTATTGCCGCAGAGCCAGGGAGCAATATTGAATCTAGGTAGTGGGGTCTTGCCTGCTGGCTGGAAAGCTTGTGAGAGATTCGTGTTTTGGGAAATGCCTGCTGAATGAAGTGCCAGTCAGGCATTTTACTGGGCACCCAACCAGCATCCAGGATTGCTGAGTGATCTAGGCCACACGTGAGTGATGGCAGGTGTGGCGAAGGGAAAGCTGCTGATTCACTCTGACTCACGTCTGCAATGAGTGGTCCCTCTTCCAGGTGTTCCTTTGAACAAGAGATGCCATTCCCTGGAAGTCTGCGAGCAATTCTGAGACAGTTTGCTTTGTATGAAGCTTTGGCCTTGAGGGAATGCTCCACTGTTGGTGGCACCCCATTTTGGATGAAAAGTTAACCAAGGCACTTTCTGCCCCAATGAGGACAATAATGAAGCGCTTCTGATAAAGAACAGGAATAAAAAGTCCAATATGGATTACCTGTTATCACTTTTCTATTTGTAATCTTGCTGTGTGGAAATTCACTGCTGTGTTTCCTATATTACAAGTTACTTTACTTCATAAGTATTTTATTGGCTGTAAAGCCCTTTAGGATATCCTGAGGTTGTGAAAGTTGCTATATAAGTGCAGTCTTCCTTGAAGGGAACTAAAGTATTTTGTATAAAATGGCAGAATATGACAGTCGTGTGTATTTGTATGTATGTTAACATTAAAGCCTAAAATTCCCAGTGCACACGTTATTCACTGACCAGATTTGGTCATGGAAAGCAGCAGGAATCTAAAGATGTTGAAATTATATACATGTCTTCTTGCAATATTATAAGCACTGAGTGTTGTTACAGGCAGAATTAGCTTATGGCCCTGGATCTGATTCCTGATGTTTTTTGGATGTGTGTATTTGTAGCTCTCTGGGATCCTGGAGATCTTACTGAATCTTCTTCAGACTAGTTCAGCTCGGGACCAGCTTTACCTGCTGCTGTTTGAACCAGGGCATGCTGACATTCTCTATGCACTGCTGCTGACCAACAAATATTCTGACACATTGCGTGAGCTCGTTTTCAAGGTACTCTGCATCCTTAATAAGCTAACATATTTGACGAACACCTCAAGCAAACGATTTGTTGACCTCAATTTGTGACAAACCATTTGGGAAACACATGTGCTTCAATGTATGCATTTTAAAGTGTAAAGTATCACACAAGTTTTCGAAGAACAAGTATAATGATTGAGATAAATGCTAAGTTCGGTGATTATGAGGTCTCCGTGATCAATAATACTTTATTCCTATTGTATTGGGAAGATCTCAGTCTTGAACACTTAGCTGACTTGATATAGCCATTCTCAGTTGGTTCCATTCTTGGAGGTAAAAGAAGCAGGAGTGGGATACATGTTTCTGGACTCGGGTGGTGTGTGACCTAGAAGAGTAGCTGGAAGTCAATGAGTTCAAGCCAAGCAAGTTAATTAAAATTAAACCTGAAGGAATTGAAAGCAAATTATTGCCTTGATTAGGACTTTGCATGGATGTCATAAGACAGAGCTGAGGTAATGGATATGTAACTGAATTGGAAAGAAGTGAAAAGTGGTATCCCACTATAATCTCAACTAATCTGTATAATTGCAAATGTGGATAACACAGTCGACAAGGAAATCAGTAAAGTGTAGTAATCAGGTATAAAAGTAATTTTAAATTCTAATGGAATAGAGCACTAGATTATAAAGGAGAGAAGGTTTTATTGCAGCTGTGCTTTGCCTGAGTTAGCCCACATGTGGAGTACTGTGTACAGATGTGGCCATCACACCAAAGCAAGAATATAATGGCCTTTGGAGGAGAAATTCACCACAGTCTTACCAGGGTTCATGGGTCAAATTATAGAGCACATAAAGAAAGGCTTGTATTCCCTGAAATATAGAAGGTCATTGGGTAATTGATATTTATTATTTTTTAAAATGTTGGCAGAACAGTTGGACAGAAACTTCTTTCACTGCTTTGGTGGGCAGCAGAATAGAGGGGAATTGAGAACAAGGGATGCAATCTTAAAACCAGAGTCGGGACATTCGGGAGCAAGGTTAGAAGACACTTCTTTAAACAAGCTCAGTTAATAACTTTAATTCTGAGATTAATAGATTTTGCAAACCTGTGGTAGAAGAGGATAACGGACCCAAGGCAGATAGATGTAATTGCGATACAGATCAGCCGTGATTTCACTGAATAGCTCGAGGGATTGAATTTGTAACAGGAGCATTACAGCAAGAAATCTGTGACCTAAATACAAGATCTCCAGTGCTTTATTTGCCACAGGAGTCATAACAATCCGATTTATGAGATAACTGTCTGCCCTCTGTTGTCACATCCCATGGCACACAAAACAGTGAGACATCAGATTTTAGTGGTGAAAGTGGTTTTTAACAAGAAAAGAAATTGCATTCATTTCTTTAAATCATGTTAGCCATTGGTGTACTGTAATTAATGTTTACAACTTAGGAGACCATCCTCCCCTCAAGACAGTTCAGCCATTCAGTTTGGTCATGGCTGATTTGTATTTAACTCCTTTTACCTAAAAGTAACAGTCTGGCCATGTCAGTTTTTTCTAAGAGAGATTTCCACAGTCCTTTCTGTGAAGTAGTGCCTCCTGATATCACCCTGAACAACTGAGTGCTACTTTTAAGGAATCACCCACTAGAAAAACCAGTTGCCTACCCTTTCCCCTGTCAAAGTGTCCTCGTCTTTGCACCATTCTTTTTCTGTTGGTGGCCATTGTCTACTGGACAGTGCTGGAAGATGTACACGCTTAGCTATCTTGAGCACTGAATCAAGTTATGCCCTTTCTCCTGCATTCGAACAGCCTGCTGAGGCCTACTGTCTGGGCTCCCACGCAAAGACTCCCACCCTCGTGGTATGGTTATCAATGTTTGCCCATGCCTGTGAAAATATATCCATTTTCTGTCTTCATATTACGAGGTTTCAAACAAGCAGTTTGCATTTTTCAGACCTAAACATAGTATTAATGTGTCTAAATTCTGCTCCTCAATAGATATTTGAGAGGATGTTAAAGTGCGATAAGGTTTATGAACGGAGCAAGCAGCGCATCAAGCTGAGGGATGTGGGTTATTCAGGACTCATCATGCTGCTGAATGATGCCATGATTACTGTGTCCCTGGTCAAAAACCTCTTGCATCAAATCCTTCAAGCAGGTAAATTGAGAGTTTGTTGTAGCAGTGAAGACTTGAACTGTACTAACGCGATATTTGACTGCCAGTGTGTTTTGTCTCATTGATTGAGGGCCTAAACATTGTTGGGGAGTTTTATTTAGTTAACCTGTTCCGAGATGTGATCACATGTCACTGAACCTGTGCCTCCTGGCTCAGCGATACCAGACATTACCACTGTACCATGAGACCCCCTTTGGGGCATGAAAAACTTAGCACTGAGACTTCCTGGAGGTACATTTAGATTGAGGTGCTGGACTCAAACAATTGATTGTTAACTGATTCAAACATCCAGTACAGAATTGCTGCTTTAGGAAACATAACACAACCGTGCAAAGACGTTAGTTTCCCAAAATCTGGGAAAAGTAGGTAAGTTATGGTTTTCTTTTCCTCAAAACATGTTTTGAAGGTCATTGTGTTCATTGTAAAAAGTTACTGGTGAAATACGCTGCTGTCTAGTCCTGCCAGTGAAGTGTCTGCAGGAGAGAGACACAGATTATAAATTGCACCAGAAAGTAGATAGGTTAACAATTTTCCCACATGCTTGACTTCATTTCTCAACCAACCAGTTGGGAGCACGTATCCCCAAACCTCAAGTGTCATCGCTGCACTTGAGTTAACTGCTGAGAACATATATAAGGGATGTCTTGTTCGTGGATGTTGTATCTGTGTTCTTCTACAATGTTCATGGTCTAGAGTATTTGTATGAACTTGATCAGATTTGCAGGCCATTTTGCTCATCTTTGTTCACTTGCCAGTCCTGACATTATAACTTGCTGCAGACATTTGCCAATCTTACACAGGAAGCAGCTGTTACAACGGGAGTGAGACAAAGTCCAATCATCCATCAGGTGTTTTCACATTTTGTTACCTTGCTTCCGACAAGCCTGTCTGCTGCTGAAATCTAATTGCCAATTCACTTATCTGTGAGTTTCCTCGTTTGGTGGAGGCAGATTATAATACTAAAGAAGGAATTGGTGTATTATCTGAAAAGGAAGACTGTGTAAGGCTGAGGGAAGAAAGCAGGAGAATGGCACTAGGTGCCATTACTTTTTGGCGCAGACATGATGGGGGGGAATGGTCTCCTTCTGTGCTGTAACAGTTCTTGATTGTATGGTTAAGCAGAATTAAATGCAATACATTACTTTTTTTTTCTTGTTCCATTTGTTTCAGACTCTGTGGTGAATTATAAAGATTTAATGGCTGTGGTTCACCTAGTGCACAAAGCAGGAATCAACGTGAGGCTTGCTGTTTGCCGAAAGGTCAGTCTTCTCCTATTAACGATTCACATTTTCTTTGGGGTTTATGCAAAGAAAAAATTCTGGCATCAAGGAAAACCAAAGAAAGTGACAAGAATATGTTCATATTTTCACATTGGCTGTAGACTATCAGTTAACCTTTTAACGCTGAAACCAAATCTGTGACTATTAGGTTTCTTGTTCCTGAATTATACATACCCTAAGCTTGTGGCTTGATATTGACTTGCATCTTTTGCCAATGATTATAAAGGAGAGAGACAGAGAAGGAAAATGTACATCTCCTAACCTTTTATATGCAAAAGCCTTAGAGAAGATATGGGCAGTCTTCCCATAAATATGGAAAGAGAGAAAGCCATGTCCATGATTAAATCCTTTGCAAAATTGGGACTGAAGTACTTTTTGTGTTGCTGCTTTTGAAGCACCACTTCCAATTATGGCTGCTGTGACCTCAGGAAGAGCATGGCGATAGAGGAAAGATAAACATTTTTGTTCAAGCTGCATGAAGCTAGGGAAATGTGTGAAAACTGTGTGGGTAATATGTGTGAATTTATTTAAATGAAAGCAAGTGAAGTGTCTACATGAAAAAGATGAATATTATACTGTCCAGTTTCTAGTTTTAAAGAGGATCCTTTGGCAATTAACCTGATATTTCAGCAATTGTTGACTGTCAAATTACTATTTAACCCTGCAGACCAAACTGCAAAATCTTGTTCTGAGCACATTGCACAGTGGGTCAATAGGCTGCTTTCTGACCCTACTTCAGTATACCTTATTTTAAAAAAGGGGGTGCCATTTAAAACAGAGATAAGGAAATATTTTTTTCACTCAGGATTGAGAGCCTTTGGAATTCCCTTTACCAAAGGGCAATAGATGCAGAATCTGTAAATTTTTTTTTAAGGCAGAGGCTAATGGATTCACAATGACCAAGGAGATGTAAGATTCTTGAGGATATGCAGAAATTTAGAGTCGAGGTTAAAATCGGACCACCCGTGATCTTATTGGATGGTGGAGCAGGCTCAAAGGGCCAAGTAGCCACCTGTTACTCCTTGTTTGTATGTTAGTAATGTGACCACCACTCAGCCAACAAGAATGAATGGGTTCTCACCTTTATTCCAAGGCTAACATGGTTTGTGGAGAGTAAGGAAGAAACATTTTTTAACCTGATCCAAGGCTATGTGTTGATTATCATGCAAACTTGGATGTTGAGCAGATGGTGAGATTCTTCAGACCATTGTCACCGTTGGATCTGATATGTTAAATATAAGCTACAATTGAATGTTTAGGTCACAAAAGATCTTATACCACTGTTTCTGTTTTGGTTCAAATTGATTACTTTGCCAATGAAGACATTGATTAGTGAGCAATACGAAAAATAATAACAATTTCAAAAGACCATTAAACAGAGTTACCAAAAATAGCAGTTAATTTATCGGTGACATTTAAGTGAACTTGCTTTCTCCCTGAATTGTTTCAGATTTATCAACACTTGCAGTCCCAGCAAGATGCAGCCCAGCAGATAGCAAAGCAGACCAGCTGGCAAGAAACATTTGTGCGGTTGTTTCTGAAGGAAAATGCTGAGAGCAAGGAGAGTGCTGGTGTGGACAGTTTGAACAACAGCAGTTTGGATTTTGGTAAACAAGCTGAGATGAGATCTAGCGTAGAGCAGTTAAGGAGCACCAACGAAGAATCAAGTATTCGGGGTGACAATCTATCAGATGGTGATATAGTCGACAATGTGCCCTATGATAACAGAAGTTTTGATGGGTTGGTTGAAAGATTTAATGACTCAAACCACTCTTCTGAGATGTTTTTAGATGACAGAGCCTCAAATGAAAGTGTCCTCACAGAAAGTTTGGAGGAAAATCAGGCTCAATTGGAGGAATGGACTCCGAAGGGGAGAAGCTTAACATTGGACTTGTCGAGCATGGCCTCTTACGAAATGGGTGATGTTGAAAGTCAGACACCAGGTAGCATTGCCAGCACACCATCTCCACTGGAGATGCCCAAACACTTTCCTGGTGCACAGTTTGATAAGGAACTTAGCAGCACAGATGATTCAAGTTACATGGATGATGCATCAATCTATGAAGTCTCCGGAAGTGGAGAGGTAATTTGTTAAATGATTTTTGTGCCATTTTCGTTTTGTTTTAAAGCAGGTATAATTAATGTTTACCAGGGGGAGGTTCAGACTTGCTAAATAACTAGTGGTAGCCATGTTACAGGTTGTTGATCTCTGATTAAGAAACTTAACATTTGTTTCAATTGATCTTCAACTAAAGAACTTCTCCCAGAGGGGAGTTGTACCAAATATGGAATGCCATCTACCACCAAATATTAATTCTGAGGGACATCTGGCCCTATAGCAGTAGCTCCCAAGTGTGCCCTGTAATCCAACTTAATAATATCAAAAAAATTTGTTTAATTGAGTTTTCATTACTACTAGCTTGTGCATGTAAAATTGCTAATTTAAATATAATAGAGCTCATGTTCATATTGTTATATTCTCGCTCTATAGCAGCAATCCATTTTCAAAATGGTAAAGACTTGTTGTGTGGCCTCAAACATTATACCACTTCTTGAATCTAACTTTACTGAACTGCATTTGCTTATGGAACTGGCTTTCTTTCTCTTTTAGAAGAGTGAAGAAGAGCTAAGTCAGATTCTGATGGACATCCTCCTTTGTATTATGTGGCGTGGCCTGGATGGGTCAGATGATGCTGCTTGGATCGAACGAGGCCAGGTCTTTTCAGCATTGACAAAGCTAGGAACAGCAAATGAACTACTTTCTCCATCGGATGAAATCAAATTAAAGTATGGTTTGCATGCATTGAGGGTGGGTTGGGGTGTGGGTGACCTTCATATTTGAAAATCTCTGATTTGTCATAACTAAGAGACTTAAGCTATGTAACACCTCATGGGGTAGCGCACTGGAAACCGTGTCCCAAAAATCCTGGTGTCATCACAAAGGTTATAGATTTTAAAGAAAATGTCAGAATTTACCAATTTACCTTACTTAGACCTTTGTTGACAGAAAGAACGGGCCAGGTTCCGTAGTTAACAAGAATCACTTTATTTCAACTAAATATGCTCCAGCTTTGTGTAAACATTTATGAACTGTTAGCACCCCACACATATGCAGATAGGTGGATGGAAGGCCTAGTAAAGCAGTTCAATGGTTACCATTCACAGGATCTGCTGAGATGATTCTTGTGCTAATGGAAATGCTGCTTCTTGTTCTTCCTTCTCTGGATGCTTCCAGTAGTTTGCAAGAGGCACAGGATGACTGGTTCACAATTAGAAATTGTAAATGTTGTTTACATCGCTGCTGGTTCAAGCAGCAATAGAAAAGGTCTTATAAAAAAACATTTCTGGCTTAGCAATTAAAAGTCCCAGCTTACAGGAACTGAAGGGAAAATAAACTGGTTCTCTTCAGGCTTAAAGTCACTTCTAATGCATAGAACAAAGAAAGTTCCTGAGCTGGCAAAAATCTGAAGGCTTTCCCCAGCCTTCATCCAAGCTGTTTAGCTACCTGCGAACCAATTACAAAGTTCTTGGCAAGCAGAAAGCTTTTGTCATTGATAACTAATTAACTAGTCCAATTGGTTAATTGTTGCTGGCTGATTGTCCGTTTGTGCACAACCCTTGATACTAGTTGGTCTACAAACCATCTGCTATAGCTTGAACCAGCAGCAATTGTGTAAACAGCATTTACAATGTGTGAAAACAAGCTGTAGAGCTGGATGAACACAGCAGGCCGAGCAGGGAAGCTGACGTTTTGGGTCTGCTCCTCTGATGCTGCTTGGCCTGCTGTGTTCATCCAGCTCTGCACCTTGTTATCTCAGATTCTCCAGCATCGGCAGTTCCCACTATCTCTGAATCATTTACAATGTGTGTTTGTTTTCAAAAATTGCCGCAATCCTTCAGCAATCCTTGATTTTTAAGTTATTTTCCCATTTCAGTCCACTGTCAAAAATACAGAAAATAAAAAGGCGTGGTCTTTACAGCTAGAGTAAAGTCAAGACTATCTTGTAATGAAAATGGTCTTTTTCAGACTTATTGAGAAGATATTGGAATGGGCTGTAACTGACAACAAAGAGGCGACAGCAGTTGCCCTTCCGGTTCACACTGAGAATGCAGTGCGATTGCTGTATATTGTTCAGGACTTCCTCCAGGCTGAGGGGTTGGTGAATCCTGCATTATGGACTGATAAGGTACTTAACTATACCTACTGCAGTGTTTATCCCTTTCCTAATACAATGCTTGGGTCATCCTCCTCTCCTCTGGGTTTCCATGTGTTATGGCAGAATTGCCCATTAACCAGCTGCCAAGCACCCCTCTATGTTGTTCTACAATTGGTCATGAACAGCAGGAGTTCCCTGATTCATTTCTTCCTCCCTTATTGAAAATGTGCGCGCAGTTGACATGATCATGCTTGCAGCCTCTGTGTTGTCACTGTGTAGACCAGTATGTGGTGATACAGCACTGTTTTAACATAGTTGTCAGTGGAACTGAAAGATGTCAAAGACTGGCTACTGACTGTCATGCATAAACAGAATAGCAAGGCCCAGACAGGAAGCTGTAACCTCTAGCATTTATTAAGGAGGAGAAACATATGGGCTCAATATTTGGAGCTGGGGCATGTAAGTGAGATCTGGAGGAACAGTTATTTCGATAGTATTTCAGTCAGAGGTGAAGGTTGAACTGGAAAGATGGCAATTGCCGGCCAGAAATTAAAGAGAGAAATGATTTACTGATGTAACATACAGTTTCTCTTGTTAGGGCCTGGAATTTGTCAGAGTGTTTTCAAAGAGCTGCTCCATTCCATTAGATCTGTTTTGAGCAGACTTAGACTTGATAAAACTTTGAAGTTTAAAAATAGTGTCCATCAGAAAAGCAGAACGCAGTCATAACAATGGCGTGCCGCGTATATGTATCATTTTAAGACCAGGATGTCGAAAAAGGCGGAGGCTGGAGATAATAAGACCAGAAATGCTGACCTCAAGGCAAGTAGGATGTTTCTCTCCACTCTCGTTGACAGAAAGCATTCATTCTATACCATGTTGCACAGTGTGGAGAAGATCAATATGTAATGTTTCACTGATTGTCTTGTAAAATATAACATATTTGAGATTATGCCTGAACAAAAGAAGGTTGGTGATTAGAGAACAGAATCATCAGCAAACCAGCAGTTTTTGAGTTGAGATGACGTACAGTTGGAGAGTCTGTGATACTTGGCAGAATCTTGATTGAAAAGAGTCCCTACAGTGGGCAGCATTGAATTGCAAGGAAACTTGATTTCTGATTAATATGACCTTATAAGGTGCTATCTTAGAAGAGCGCACTGTATTGATATTCTAAGGGTTAAGTGTACCCTGATTATCCAGAAAGTTGAATATTCATTTAGGTTTACTTTATTTAATTAGCTTTTCTTCTTCATCCCGTGGTGTATAGTGTGATTTTCATTCTTTTTATGCAGGTATTGGAGGAAATGGTCACGTTAATGGACAGTCTGATGGTCTGGTACTCATCTGGATCAGAATGGATGCAATTGTCACAGCTCGGAGTGCGCCTTCTCCTTGGATTTATTGCACGGGATAACATGCAGGTAGGAAGCAGCAATCGCTACGTCCACCTAAGACGTTTAATTGCTCAGTTGGTAGGCAGTCAGTCAGTTGATTATGCTTTCACCTCTAATTTAAAAGGTTGTGAGGTTAAGCCCACTCCACAACCTTGAATATGAAATCAAGATTGATGCTCCAATGCAGTACAGAAAGAGTGCTGCACTATTGGAGGAGCTAACTTTCAGATCGCACTTCAAACCAAGGTCTTATCTACCATCTCAGATGTGTGTCAAACAGTTTCCCATTTTACTGTTTCAAAGAGCAGCAAAGGATTTCTCTCCATTGCTCCTGGATAATAATTGCTCCTTCATCAAGTCACTTAAAAAAAAATTGATTATCTTGGTCATTTGCACATTGCAATTTTTGGAATCTTGCTTGGAAATGGGCTGCATCATTTCCTGCAATGCAACAATGACTACACTTCAGTGCTACATTTCAGAAAGACTCAGTTGCCTATGAAGTGCTTGAGGTCATGAAAGGTGTACCACAAGTACAATATACTGTCCGAAATAGGGAACAATTGTCATATTGTCACTATCTATCTGAAAATATAAATTCATCATAACTTACCAATTGGTTTTTAAAAATTATTTTTCCTTGTTTAAATATGTTGCTTGTTATTAACATTATTATGCTGCTTCTCTTTCATGAGATGTGGGTGTCACTGGCAATGTCAGCATTTCTGCACATCCCTAGTTGCCCTTGTACCTAGTCCATTTCAGAGTCAGACAAAGGACATTTTGGGTAAGAGTGGCAGATTTCCTTCCCTAAAGGACATTAGTGAAGCAGATGGGTTTTTATGCCAGTTGGCGATAGTTGTTGTAGGTATTTTCCTGGGACTAGTTTTATATTCTAGCCTTATTAATTGAACTTGAGGTCCACCAGCTCCTATGGTGAGATTTGAACCTGTGTTTCCGAAGCTTTAACCTGGGCCTGTAGATTGCCAGTCCAATCACATTGCCATCATGCCAACACCTTCTGCAAAGTAGGCCAAAACGATAGATCAGGCGAGGTGTTACCAATAGTGTTTAAATTTGAATCGTTTTGACTAATCCGAAGCCACTTTTTTATTAATATTAGGTGTGCGCCATGGCAGCAGCAAAGCTCAACACTATCCTGCAGACAAAAGAGATAGTCAACCAAGATGAAGCATGTTTCCTCTTGGGGAAGCTGGAGGAAACCCTGACCAAATCCATAAGAGAGAGAACCGAAACCTACTCCTTCTTAATCCCAATCATACGGACTTTGGTATCCAAAATTTATGAACTGCTGTACATGCACCTGCACTTGCCAGCTCTGCCTCAAAGCAATGGCAGCCCATCTTTCTTCGAGGACTTTCAGGAGTACTGCGGATCCAATGAATGGCGTGTTTACATTGACAAATATGTATGTGATATCATTTCTGTTTTGTGACCCATTAACAGCTTTGTATTCTCTGCGCAAGTGTCTTGTTTTACCTTCTAGTCTGAGTTGGTCATTTGCGGCAAAAACGAGTGACCGCATGTGAAAGTAGTGAACAGCTGCATATAAGATATTCATAAGGTCATATCTAGATTACTGTGTGTAATTTTAGTGTCTTTACTTAAGAGGGGATAAACCTGCATGGGAAACCTTTGAGAGAAGTTTCACGCAACTGATTCTGAGCTGAAGCATTGCCTTATGAGGGAAGGTTGGTCATATTGGGCTTATGGTCACTAGAGTGTACAAAAATGTGAGGGAATCTTATTGAAAGATCCTAACAGGGTAGAGTCTGCAAAGGTGGTTCCTCTTATGGAGGAATCTGCAACAAGGGAACACTGTTTAAAGGTTAGGGATCTCCCATTGAAGGAGGAGAAGAGGGAATTTTCTTTCTCAGAAGCTTGTTAGCCTGTGGAATTTTCTTCCCCAGAGAGCGGTGGAGGCTGGATCATTGAATACATTCAAGGCTAAGCTAGGTAGTATTTTGCTGGGCAAAGGGTCCAGAGTTGTGGGGAGCTGCAAGAAAATGGAGTTGAGGCCACAATGGTCAGTTACAACCTTACTGAATGGCAGAGCATGCTCAAGGGGCCGAATGGCCGATCCTGGCTCCTAATTCTTGTGTTGTCTTATGTGTCTTTGTGAACTATTGTGACTCTGTCCTCATTTCTAGATCATCCCTTCAATGAAGCGGTATGAAGTGGAAACATTCAGCGAAGGCCATGAGCGTATGGCAATCTTCTGGAAGGATTGTTATGAAACAATGATGGTGAATTTGCACAAGAGAGATCGGGAGAAAGGAGAAAGCAAACTCAAATTCCAGGTCAGTGGGTGGAATGTGCAGTTTGTTGATTTTTAAAGCCGTTTCTCATTTCATCTTTCTCCACCTGCATTTTTCCTCATTGAAAGGAAAGACGGGGAGTCGCAGAAAATCTGGAAGATTCAATCATGGGAAGCACTTCGTTTCCCTGTCCTTGAGACTTATGAAGTGCTCAGAGACCCATCAGGGAGGTTTTGTCACCCTGTGTTCAAAGGGCAGTATGCAAGCTGCCCAGTTCCTCCTCCCTAGCCTAAGCACAATGAGCCATGCCAGACTGTAATTTATAAGTGACAGCCTCCTGTTGCCTCCACCAGTCAATAATGTCTGATGAATGCTTACTATCCTATACTAACTCCATCCAGCAACAAATAGAATTAAAAGTTCTCCCTTTTGTGTTTATGCCTTATTTGATCTCACCACTCCCTACCTTTGTAACTTCCTGTCAGCCTCTGAAAGCTCTGCTCCTCCAATTCTAGTCTGTTATGCTTTGCCAGTTTTCTTTCTCCACTTGTGGTGACCATGCCTTCAGCTGCCTGGGCCTGGGCTCTGGAAATCCCAATGTAAATATCCCTTCCATTCTGTTTTACTTCAAGGCACTTCTTGAAACTAAATGTCAGATTGTTTCTGATAACAAGCCTCTAAGACAGCTGGTCATGTTTACCTTTAAAGGCACTATATAAATACGTTTTGTTGATGTTGAACAAACTTGGATATTTGCTTATTGGTAAGCTATCCAACGTTTGAGTCACCATTGACTTAACCTGTCCTTGCATGTGCTTCTAAAAGATGCTGGCCTGGAACAAGAGACTTGACACACAACAAGTTTACAACCAGTAGAGAGGAGACTCTGTTCATCCTGTATAGACCGGATTGAAACTTGGAGTCTCAGAAGATAATGATTTTGCTAACCCACACACATTTGAATACCCGGTTTAACAATAAAATGTGCATTTGGTCAGTGCCTGCCATGATACTACTAATGTCAAGTGTGCATGTTCTGAAAGCACCACAACCTTCATCCATTTCCACTCAGCAGTTGGACTGGTAATCAGAGGAAGCATGGGTTGTGTGAATTTTTTTTATTTATAAGTAGTGAGTTGCTAAGATGTGCAATCTGCCTTGTTAGGTCAGTGGATGCATGTTCAGTAGCAACTTGCAAAGGGGGTTTGGATACTGAACATAGGAAAATGATTTCAGGGAAACAGCAGGGAATCATACTGATTGGGTATTTCTAGCATAGGCATAATGGGGTGAATAGCATCCTTTTATTCTTTATGTGCTCAACATTGTAACTGAGATGTCCAAATATTTACCTATAAAATTATGCACCAAAATAAACAAACTTAGATCAAAAATGGAAATTGCTGGGATAACTCAGCAGGTCTGGCAGCATCTGTGGAGGGAAAGCAGAGTTAATGTTTCAGGACCAGTGACCCTTCTTCAGACGAAGAGTTCTACATCTGCCTCCACATTACAGTATCAAATTGTATGCCTCTTTTACCCCCACTATCTAGCTTACTCCATTTGTAAGTTGTTATTTAGTGAGCTGTTTCCTTCTTGATTGTGACCAATGTTTGTTTGGTTTGTCTGATGCCAGGAGTTTTTTGTTGAACCATTCACCCGCAAAGCCAGGCAAGAGAACCTGCGATATAATAGCATGTTGAAACAACTCAACAGCCAACACACTGCAACACTGAGACAGTGGAAGGTGGCCCAGCACTATTTAACCTGTGAGCGTGGACCATGGGCTGATAAGTAGGTGGCTTACGATGATTTCTGTGACATGACCGAGTTCCGTACTGTGAATTCAATATACTAACAGGATTTTAAAGGAGTTTGGTTTTATACTTTTTTGCTTTATTTACACCTGCAATGTGAAAAGCACATCTCAGGCTCACATTAATTTCCCATCCCTCATTGCAATCCATACCGTTGGAGCATCGAATCAGTTAACACACAGCATAGAACTGCAGTTTTAAAAGTTTGGGGTGGGGAGGGAATCATTTGCTTTTACTTGTTAACTGTTTGAGATGTTAACTGCCAGCTGGTCATTTCATGTGTCTGGTGCCAGTCTATTACATTTAATTGAACAGTTTAATTAATTTACTTGGCATCTCAGTGGAGCAAAGTACTGATAAGTATGCCATGGAATTGAAACAAAGCCAACATCGTTTGCAATATTACATTGCCAGATCTTTCCAGATTGTGTATGAGCTAAGGCACAAGTCGTAATGTAAAGTGTAATATCTGTGACAGCACCCTCAACTCTGAGTTAAGTCCCGTTCTAAGAGTTTGAGTTTGTGATCCATCTGACACTGAGAGAGTACTGCGATGTCAAAGGTGTCATCTTTCAGATGAGGCATTAATCTGAAGCCTGATCTTCTGTGTCAAGTGAGTGTTAAAGATGGTCCTATACAAACCAAGAGCAAGAAAATTCTTCTCAGCATCCTGGACAGTGTTTATCCCTCAACCAGCAAATAAGAACAGATTATTTGGCCATTATTTGTTTGCTGTTTGAGGGACTTAACATATATAAATTAGCTACATTTCTTCCTAAGTTATAGCAGTGCTACCCATTCAGGAAAGGTCCTGCAATGTCATTCAACTTTCTTAAATCCCATTCCTATTAAATTGCTGAAGAGCCAACTTCCTTCCTGGCACTCATGGCAGCTACCATCTCCACCTTGACCTTCACATAACTGATGCTTAGACCCTCATCCACTGGGGAGGCAGTGCATGGTGGAAATGTTACCAGACAAGAAATTGAGAACCTCGGACTAATGATTCAGTAACATGGCTTCAAATCTCACCATGGTAGATAAATTCAGTAAAACCTAGAATAAAAAGCTAGCTGAATGATAACCACTGACAATTGTTGTAAAAATGAATGTCCTTTAGGAAAGGAAATCAGCCATCCTTACCTTTATCAGGTCTGGCCTACATGTGACTTCAGGTCCACAACAATGAACTACCCTCTAGGCAATTAGGTATAGGCAACAAATCCTAGTTTAGCCAGCAGCACCCACATTTCATCAACAAATAAAGAACCGTCCATGCTGTCACTGCTTAGTAGTTTAATTTCTGCAATGCACTGTTGTGCTGACTTCCAGTCCTTTTGCCTTTTGTAAACTCATTTATCACTCGTTCTGAGTTCCATTGGCTCCCTTTGACCCAAGAAGTTCAAAATTCTCATCATCATGTTTAAATCATACCAAGATCTCTTCCCATCAATCTTCCCACTGCCATTCTTTGTCTTTCATTCTTCTGTCTTTGACCTCTTGTGTATTCCTGTCATGAGAACAGCAAACCAGCCAAGAGTTTTACTTTTTTATTTGACGATCTGTAATGAACTCAGCTAATGTTACTACTGGACGCATCAGACCTTAAAACGAAATCTGGCTTATAGAACATAGAACTATAATGCACGGGAACGACCCCTTCGGCCCATGTTGTTGTGCCAAACATGATGCCAAATTAAACTAATCCCTTCTGCCTGCCCTTGGTCTATATCTCTCCATTCCTTGCATATTCATGTGCTTATCTAAAAGTCTCTTAAACACCCCTGTTGTATCTGCCTCAACCCCCACACTGGCAGCGCATTTCACCCTCCGACCACTCTGTGTAAACAAAAAACTTGCCCCTCACATTTCCTTTGAACTTACCCCCCTCACCTTAAATGCATGCCCCCTAGTTTTAGACATTTTAACTCTGGGATAAAGTTCCTGACCATCAACCCTATCTATTAATCTCATATATGTTTATAGACTTCTATCTTCTCCCCTCAGCCTCAGCCGCCTCAGAGAAAACTACCCAAGTTTTTCTAGCCTCTCCTTATCGCTCATACCCTCTAATCCAGGCAGCTTCCTGGTTAACCTCTTCTGTGCCCTCTCCAAAGCCTCCACATCCTTCCTTAATGTGGAGACCAAAATTGAACACAGTAGTCTAAGTGTGGCCTAACCAGAGTCTTATAAAGCTGCAGCATGACTTCCTGACTCTTGTACTGAATTCCCCAACCAATAAAAGATGCAATGTTTCAATTGCATCTTTCCATAATATGCCTACGTATTTGTTCCTCAATGTCTCGGTGGCTGTTGGGGGGCCTCTCGCATAATCCTGTCAGAGTGATTATATCCATCTTGTTTTTGAGCTCTACCCATATTGCCTCAGTGGATAAGCCTTTCAGCACTCTGAGTGCAGATGTAACATACTCCCTGATTAGTAATGCAACTCCTCCACCTCTTTTACCCTCCTCTCTATCTCGTCTAAAACTTGTTGGATCACATTTCTTCTAATTTAATGTGGCTTTCAGTATAATATATGCACACAAGGCTACAGATTTGGTTTTAATAGTAAAACAGAAGTTTATTACACAAAAGAAATAAAAATAACATTTTATAAAACTGAGCTATCTACATATAGTACACTTTTAAGGATTTCAAAACATGGCAAAATAAAAAAGCAAACACTGCTAGTTTAAAAGTCAAATTCTTCAAAGACAGATATCGATATATATAAATCGCACACATTTCATCATGGATCTGAATTTCAATTAAAATTTTAGCTTTAATTGTAATTTTCCTGTATAGCATAAGGGTCCAAGTGAAACTCGGTCATAAATATTCCCCTAATGGAAAGAAACAAGAGTTGGGTTCACTGATCACTTTGATACAGAAAATTGATAAGACAATTTACGTTTTAAAAACACACAAGTTTTTACAAGAAAGCATGCAAGATCCTGAAATAAAAGTTAAATATTTATTTCTTTTATGAGAGATTCCAACATTTTAAGGCTGTTTCAGATGTGCACTATTTAAAAGAAGTTCAGGATTGCCTTCAAATATAAATCGAATGTTACCTTAATCCCAAAGTGTGAGACTGATTACGGTCAAACAAATCTGAAGCAAATCTAAATGATGCTAACAAATCTTCAATTATTCAGTCTTGGTGGAGATAGGTATAATTAATTTTTGGAGTGGTCTATTTAATGGTTATGTGATAGATGTTTATTTGATAACTGATGGACCATCCCAAATTATTATCCCATATTTGCAGAAAGGACCACCTATTATAATAAGGGTGCCCTGTTCAATTTATAAGAAATATTATTTTGAATTTATACTGGAAAACTAATTCAGTAGCAATCATGTCAGTTTTGTCAAGTCAATCTATAAGATTGCAGCAAGAGGATAGGATTTGAGGTCTATTGATCTTCTGTCTGATTGCAGTTCTACTTAGCCATAAAATACCAGCCTTGTTACATGCTATTTTCAATAACACGGGCCATATAATACTGTTTTTTCTCAATGTGTGCATTCATTTTATTTTGAATTAAGTTAATCATGTTGTGTTTGCAATGTAGTTTTGCCCCCTGCTTAAAAAATATACCCTGTTGTAAATTTCGCTGAAAAGTGCCATTTAACGTAATCCTCCTGCATTTTCCCTTATATCTCGAACCTTGTTCCTTCACAGTTTTCTGTTGTAAAGTCACTGTATGAATTCACATTGTTGTCAATATCTGAATTAATGGATCATTTACTTTTTTTTTGCTCTTGGTAGAAAAACAGAACCAATGCACTGGAAGTTGTCCAGTGTGGAAAACTATTCCCGCATGAGGCTGAAGCTGGTCCAGGACTACAACTTTGACCCCCACACTAATGCCAGTGCGCTCCGGGACAACCTTGGTGAGCACCTAGACCACTTGGGGCTTGGTTTAATATTGATGTAAATGGTACAAACCGGAGATACTAAACTACTGAATGTTTGGAAAGTGGTCTCACTTGCTGGTTCAGATTTACTACTTGAGATAGGAAATAGGAGCAGGAGTAGACCATTCAGCCATCTCGAGCCTGCTTGCCGTTCTACTTGATCATGACTGATTGTCTACCTCAGCTCCATTTTCCCACATTATCCTCATATCCTTTTATGTCTTGACAATTTAGAGTTCTATTAATCTCTGTCTTGAACATGTTCACTGACTGCCCAGTCTGCTGGGGTAGAGAATTCAAAAGGTTCATCACCCACTATGTGGTCTTCCCCTTACTCTGAGACTGTGTTCCCTGGCCCTGGTTCTACGCTACTTCCCCAGCCAGGGAAAATATCCTTCTTGTATCGACCCTATTGAACGCTGGACAGATTTTGGATCATATTTTGGTCGCCTAAAGACATTACATTCCCAGCAGGCCCAGCTGTCTGTGTACCTGGTTTTTTGCATTTGTAACAAAACATGTGCATCAAATTAGACTAGGTTTATTTTCATTGCCCCTGAACGCTCAAAATATTAATAATAAACTTGAGTAGAATTTGAAACAGCCCCATGGGGAGGTGATTCTTGTTGGCTGCTTCTGGGTAACCAACATATTGCTGACCTTCTGTGAATAGGTAAGGCTGAACCTTTTTGCATTTATACAGGAGTCCAGCAGTCAACACCGTCCAATGATTCCTTGCTGCTGGAAGCGGTAAAGCAAGCTAAGGTCAATGACCTGGAGGATGATCGATTAGCGGACGAAGATCTCACTGTGCTCAGTAACATGTAAGTCTGCTTTGTCTGAGAATTCCAGTCTTCCACAAGTTCTTGTGAATGCCCCCAATCCCAAAAGTTGTTATAAAAGCCTGTGCATGATTGAAGCAGTAAATTTTGAGGGTTAAGATATAATGAGGATGAACAGAGCCATTTGAGATGTTGCAAGTAGCTATGCGCTTGTTACATAAGTATGTGAAGAAGATAACAAAAACATTCAAGAATTATCAAACAATTCACCTGTTTTTAATGACTCTCTTGCTCCTCTCAGCTGTGATTTGGAATTAATGAAAATTACATTTAATAAAAGGCACCCTTAATGCCATGGTCTGTACATACATATTTTCCAGTCATCCACTGTGGATTCTTTCTTAAACTTGCAACACTTTCTTCCTTAACCCTAACTTACAGTGAAATTTAACTTTAGTTACAGTGACTTGCCAATTAATTGAAGACTGTAGATCTTGATGTAAATTTGCATTTTTCTCAAAATTGCAAGAATTTACTTTTAAAACTTTCATGTATCCTTGGGCTTCACTATGCCTGTGCAGAGGTTTTGTGTTCAATTCAACCATCCAATATCGCTATACAAAGTGAAATACTGCCACCTGCTGACAGCTAAGTTTTGCATCGTTTGACAACACAATGAGAATATGTTAAAAACTATTTTCTCATTACTGTCGCATCATGTATGGTATCGGAGCTGGGACATTTAGCCCCTCGAGCCTGTTCCAGACGCACAATATTCCGGACAGAAATTACACTGTTTCCTACGTTACATTTTCAAAATCACATTTTCTGCCTCTTTACTCTAGAATTTCCTGGCATTTCTCATCAGCTGCATGACATTCAATGTGAATGAGTGTCTTATTTTCCTATTGCCATCAGTGTTATTTCAGTGAACAAGGAATTGAGAAATAGATTTTCTAGTTGAAAAAATAGACTGGAATAATTGATCATACACTCAGGAGGAGGTCATTTACCCAATTGTGTCTGTGTTGATTTGTTCGCTTAGATCCACTCAGATTAGTCCCTCTCCTCGATCTTAAATATAGCCTTGCATGTTGTTACTTATCAAATATTTACTAGTTTCCCTTTTTCAAAGTTATAAGAGAATCAGCTTCCACCATCCTTTCAGTTAATGAATTCCAAACTATCATAATTTGCTGCATAAAAAGAATTCTCCTGATCTCCCCTTTGTTTTGTTTTTGCTGATTATCCTCTAATTACTGATTTTCCTACTATTGGGAATGGTCTCTCCTTATTTAATTGAACAAACCCCCTCATAATTTTGACCACCACTAACCTTTGCCTCCTTAGCTCAAAAAACTACCTCCTTTAGTCTCCACTTGAAAATGTTCTTCATACCACTGTCCTTCTGGTAAATCTAACTCATGCCAATATCATGAATCATAACAGGAGTAAAACCTGTCCTAAACAGGATTACTTCCACCCAGTGTGACCTGAGCTTTGTGTTGTAGTAAAATCAATTTAACTCATGCTAATGACTTTAACTCTGATTTGGTCACAGTCTAATTGGTATAACTTGTGACAGGGAAATGTGTTCAGTTTCATAATTTGACTTTGTCTTTCCAATTCATTCCTGCCTTTTTCTGTTTTCTCCCCCAGCAATGAGAAAGAGGAGCAGAATCAGAAAGAAAAGCTGGTGATTGCTGAAGACTGTGACCTGATCACCATCATGGATGTTGTTTCAGGACGCCTGGAGGTCACCACCCAGCACATCAACTTTTTTGATGGGAGTCTGGACAAAGAAGAAGGTAAGAAATGAACTTGGGAAATCGCCCACTTTAGTGAAGTCTTATTGTTAACCATAAGTTTTAATCATCCTAGGTTGTAAGTAGAATCATAGAGTCCTAGAGATGTACAGCATGGAAGCAAACCCTTCGGTCCAAATCGTCCATGCCAATTAGATATCCTAAATTAATCTAGTCCCATTTGCCAGCATCTAGCCCGTATCCCTCTAAACCCTTCCTATTCATGTACCCATCCAGATGCCTTTTAAATGTTGTACCAGCCGCCACCACTTCCTCTGGCAGCTCATTCCATACACCACCACCTGCATGAAAAGGTTGCCCCTAGGCTCCCTTTTACATCTCTCCCCTCTCACTTTAAATCTGTACCCTCTAGTTTTTGACTCCCCTCCCTGGGGGGAAAAGACGTTGGCTATTTACCCTATTCATGCCCCTCATGATTTTATAAACTTCTACAAGGTCACACGTCAGCCTCCAACGCTCCAGGGAAAATATAGCCCCAGCGTATTCAGCCTCTCCCTGTAGCTCAAACCCTCCAGTCCCAGTAACGTTCTTGTAAATCTTTTCTGAACCCTTTCAAGTTTCACAACAGCCTTTGTATAGCAGGGAGACTAGAACTGAATGCAGTATTCCATGCTTGTGAAAAATGATCCAGTTAAAGCTAGTCCAGTATAAGTCACAATTATATTGATCCATCAGCGTAACATCCAGTCATTTTTTAAGCCTTTATTTAGTTAGAATCATGCAGCGCAAAACAAAACTGTTCAACGTGTGCCAGCTTGGTAAAAGAACAGTCCAATTAGTCCACTTTCAATTTCTTGCTCCCATGGTCCTACAGGCTTTTCCTTTTCAAGTATTTATGAAGTTGACCTTTGCAATTTACTATGGAATCAGATTTCACTTCCTTTTCAGACAGTACATTCCAGATCACAACAGCTCTCTGTACTGAAGGGAAAAAAAATTCTTAATCTCCCCTATGGTTGTTTTGTTGAATAGCTTAATTTGTCTTAGCCTATTACCTTTGTTATTAGAAATAATTTCTCCCTGTTTCTTTAGTTTCAGACTTTACTGTTAAGTGTTACCTGAACCTTCTTAATGTATCTGAGTTCAAAAACAGTGAGAGAAATTGCTTAAACGCAGCAAAAACAAAAGCTGTCGTCTTATCACCCATGTGTGGAGAAGTAAAGCTGATTTCTGTTGGCAGAAACTGTCCCGGAGGTACAATGTGTAGCTGCACAGGGGTTAAAATAACCTCTGACTGAGAGTCAGGTGTGGTTGGTTGGCAATTTGTTAAACAAAAACAAACTTGGGAGGAACAGCACAGAGGATGCCTCGTATTAAAAGTAGGTAAGGGGCATATTGAGGAGGTGAAACATACTAGAGTTACTGACCTCCAGGAATTGATGACTAATCTCTGTTGTAATTACTTCCAGAAAAAAATTGTAGGAGCCTTAAAATTGTACTTTCCAATAGGAAAAATTTAAAGGTTGTTTGAATACATCATTCCACAAATAAAATAGAAACAATCTAAGAGGCAGCCCATCACTACTTAATAAAATTAATAATAAAATTTATAGACAATATTCAAATGATTATAAATTGTGTGAACTCAACTTGACGATCTATGGTCCGTGATCTTTAATAAACACCATAGAGAGCTATAGACTTTTCACTTATTCTGTAAATTAAGAGGAGCAACATTTTACAACCTGGTGTAATTAGTTGCATGATAAAGTTATCTAATTGTGCAGTCCTTTTATTTTAATTGTGCATAACCATGTTATGGATTGTGATTATTTGTTATACTCAAATGGTCATGACAATTCAGCATCTGCTGCCACAATGATTTCTCAGTAAATCAATTATTAGTTCTAAATAAAATCTGCAAAAGGAAAATGAACTGATGGTCAAAAATCATCCAGTTCATTAGTGAAGGGTGTAACTGATTTCCAGTTAGTGAGAGAAAACATTGCATTACATTGTGTGTGGATGTCCGGGAGGATTAGTGGGTGGATTGCTGGGACAGGATGTTGGAGCTCGTGTCATGAGACTGCCAGGAATAAGTCTGACTAAACATGACAACCTAGTTTAAGGACTAATGTCAGATGTAAAATTCCTCACCTTATTTATCATTTGCAAAAGGCAAACTAATTGCATGTGTTTGTCTGGAGTATGCAATTGTATTGTAAGTAGTCAAAAGGATTTTAAGACTCCTTCGGGAGATGTGACTCGTATACATGCCAATCATTAATGCACTTCTGTTTTACTGAAGGAATACAGTTGAAGTATGTGGTTATTTTTGCTCTGCAGGGGTAGGCTATGATTTTAAGTGGCCCCTCTCTCAGCTGCGTGAGATTCATCTGCGTCGCTATAACTTGAGGCGATCGGCACTAGAGATCTTTCTGATTGACCAAACCAATTACTTCCTCAACTTCAAAAAAGAGGTGAGACTAAAACGAACCCTTCAGAAGAATAGCAGTCTTTGCCTCAAGTGAGTGGCAATCATGCCCTAAAATGTTTCTGGGCATCCCTTTGCTCCCATCGCTCTTGTCTGAGGTGATGTTACCTAAGTAGCAATATATTATTTTCCTTCTTAAGACACCTATTTACATCCTTTAAAAGAACAGGAATAGAGTCAGGAGGTGGCAATTTAGCTTTTCAACCTTATTCCAATGCCATTCAACAGATTATGATTAATCTGTGCCTTTCTGCTAATGGTGTGTTTATGGGTTATGGGATCTTACTTTATATGGGAACAATTAATTAGTGACAGTTACTGTATCTAATATTCTGTTAAATTTTCCAAAAGGCTTAAGTTATTCCACGTTCTTCTTTCTTTTGCTTTTTAACTGTAGTGTTTGAATAAATTGTGTTTTGCTTAACGTCAAGTATTTTGACCAATCAAATTGCATCTAGAACACAGCACCTGATATTTACCTTTAACATAAGAAAATTTTTAGTGTCTGGGCCACCTTCTTAATATATTTTGAGGGGGTCTGGTCTGATCCATAACACTTAGTCAATTTCCTAACCGAGTCAATATTTCACTTCCCTGATTTTGCTTATTGCTTACGTTCTGTTATGAAGGATTTTATCAAGTACCTTCTGGATGTTCATACTTTAGTTACCATTTAAAATTTTTCTGTCAGGTTTATCAGGTGTGACTTTTTTTTCATTGTTCTTATGTAGGATATGGACGTCATTGGCAAAGTCAGTAGTTGTAGCCCATCACTAATTTCTCTTGAAGTGATTTGCGACTCTATTTCAACCATGTTGTCGTGGGTCCCATGTAGACCAGACCAATTAAGGATGTAGATTTCCCTCACTTTAGGAAACCAGATGGGTTTTCATAACAATTGATAATAGTATAATGGTCGCTATTACTGAGACTAGCTTTCAGTTCCAGATTTTATTAATGGCATTTACATTACCACTCTGTTGCCATCTCCCCTATATTTCCTTTACAAATCCACGCTAGAGACCTTTGAGATGTTCAGTCATTCTACCCTTTATTAGAGACTCCAGCAATGTCCCGACCACACGTTAGGCTGAATCATTAAGGTTTGATGGTGTAACTTCTTCAATAGCTGTTAGAGGCTTGGGTAAGTCTGCTCAATATGACATGCTATCAGCCGCAGGGAAACTGGAGAAGAAGGGGTACTCCTTTATGAAACCGAGAAATAATTGCTAACTAATCCAGATCATGAAGTGGACTTCTCAGATGTCTTTTCTCCTCCAACTGCTCTGTAGAGCATGGTTCAATCTAGTTTTGAAGTCAGGTTGTGTTCACCGCTGTCATTTGCCATTCTTGCCAAACAGTTTTGTCTTTCTTTCCACCTCAATTTTAGGTGAGGAACAAGGTCTACAGCCGTATATTGTCTCTGCGACTACCCAATCTATATGGCACACGATCACCCCAGGAATTGCTGAAAGCTTCAGGACTTACACAGGTATTATTATCAGAGGGCTTCAACGCCAGTCAGAGACCTCCTTTAGCAGCAGCAGTGTTGTCACAACATGAACCAAAATGCATTCGGCTCAATGATTTCCTCATTGCAACAAGAGGCTGCACATTACGAAAAGGTGCTGCAGTTTAATCCTTGAATAAGAATTTAAATCAAATAAGCAGCGATAACAACGAAGTCTGACTCTGAAAATTTGGGCATATGATGGAAGTAACAACATGGTAAAAGGAGGTGGCTGTTCAGTCCTTCTGTCTTGCTTCTCCATTCAGCTAGATTGGCCTGAGCTGTATCTTGCTTTGATTTACCTGCCTGAGCATAATCTTCTAGCACTTTGTGTCTTATGATAGAGGTATCTCCACATTGTTCATGAGAATCGTTTTGGATGTAAGAGCTGATCCTTTGGTCTTGTGTGTCACTGATCCTCATGGACAAACATGTGCCTAGCCTTATCTGAATTAAGAGATCAGTTTATTAAAGTTTGTTAGAAATGTAGGGACAGGAGGAGGCCATTCAGCCCTTCAGTCTGCCATTCAATGAGATCTTCTGCTGAAATGCCTGTCAATTCTATTTGCCGTCCTTTGTTCCATATCCCTTGAGGAAGAAATCTAACAAAATCTTACTAATTTCAGTTTTAAAATTTCCATTTAATCCTAAGCTTTTTTGGAGGGAAGTGTTCCATACAACATACAAACAAAGAACAGGAGTGGGTCATTTGACCCCTCACGCCAGCTCTGTCGCTCAATAAGATCATGGCTGAACTGATTGTAGCTTCAAATCTGCATTGTTAATTGATTTTGGTTTCGATCTCCAGTAAAAGGGGGCAGTGGGAGCATTAGACAGATGCATTGCTAAATTATTAGGATGGATGTGTTTTAAAGGTCACCACAAATTTTTGCATGTTTTCAGGAAAGCGTGAAGATATTGACTGGTGCACTGATTAACAAATAGTGGCGACTTAATCACGGCTGTAACATCATAGAGTTCATAACTGAAATACATAGTGAACCATCTCCTGATGCTGTGAGCAACTGGGGTCATGCTTCAGCTTGAAAAGAACAGCGTTGAATTTAGCTAGCACCTTATCATACCCTCCTCATTAAGGAGTGAGTGATAGTAACCTATTGTCAGAGTGTGATGCCCAGGGCTGTTGGCACTGAGGGTGAGTCCTGCTTAATTTTCATCCTGTGTGTTCCTGCTGTCTCTGAATCTTCTATTGATATTTTATTATCCTGCACATTATTACAAGGTAGTGGGGCTAAAAGGAGAAGGAAAACTCACTGGTGTTTGTTTTTTTTTAACCTTCAGAAATGGGTGAACCAAGAAATTTCAAACTTCGAATACCTCATACAACTAAACTCTATTGCAGGAAGGACCTACAATGATCTTGCTCAGTATCCAGTGGTATGTGGGATAATTTTTTTTCAAATGCAACATGCAAGTGTAACGAGCTGTTGACTGACTGACTTCTGTACGTTTTATGATGAGCAGTGCGGGTAGCCTGTGACCATTACTAATGTGTCTGTATCAATGAACCTCTCAATGCTGCAAAAGAAGGCCACTAGTTTAGTGCCTTCAGATCGACATTTAGCCCCATGTCAGGGATTGCACCTAACAAGTTCGATGCTTGTAATAGCCCACTTAGGTGACATGGCTTCTTCCCAAATCAATCTCTGACCTTTTTACTAGGGTCTTCTCATCAGTTGCCCTTAATGCTGTCCATCTCTGTCTCCATGTACCATACCCTGATTTCCATGTATTGGTCGATGGTTATGTTTGGAAAGGTACACAGTGGTTTGCTGTTGCCCTGTGCAGGTTCTGATTGACTCGGAATCTTTCTTGGTCTTACCACCTCCTATAGGAGTATTTTAGAAGGATTTCAACTTGATAATCTGTCTGATTGGCTGTGTTATAACTGCATCTTCCTTGAACATCAAGTTTTGGACTTGAACTTGGAACTACTGGCTCAGAAGCAGGGACACTGCACCGCAAGATCTCCCTCAGTGCTCTGGTCTACCAAAGTAAAATTAAGAGGCATTGTGTTAGCATACTGTGTTTACCTCTGGGAGAGGTTTTCAATCTGGCTGATATGCTGGCATTGCTGTGAAGATTTTGCATCTAGTTTTCAAATCCAAATTGATTTAAATTCAGAAAACAATCTCGCTCGTACAGTTCTGGGTTGGTGCAAATCTAGTGCCATTGCATTTTGATGTTCCAAATGTTCCTATTCACTATCCCATAGGGCAGTGTGTTACCTAGAGAACCCATTACTTTTGTCAATAAATCAGTTGTCTTTGGGAAATAGCTTGCAGAAGAAGTGGAAGTACTGGTTTCAATATTATCATGTATAGTTTTACTAAATCTAAGAAAGCATCATGTAAATCAGATCAAAAGAAATTCTGTAACTTTTGACTTTCCAACTTCCTGTATCTTGTGCATGTCTATCTTATTGTATGACTTCTGACTATCGATGCTTCACTGTTCTTGGATTAGGTGTTACATTTTGAAATATATATTTTAAAAGGGCAACAAGGTGGAAGTCTGGTCATCTCTCAGACATTTGACACACCCTTTTCTTGATTTCAGTTTCCTTGGATTCTTAGTGATTACACTTCAGAGGAGCTGGATTTGAACAACCCTGAGGTTTTCAGAGATCTCTCCAAACCTATTGGAGTTGCCAATGAAAAGAATGCCAAAGCTGTTCGGGAAAAGTGAGTGTTGCTGCTTCCGAACTAAAATAATTACTGTTTTTCCTCGCATATTTTTCTTTCTAATGGAACTTACCTGCTGCCAAAGAGGCACCTGCAGAACTGTCCCTTGCTAATACTGAGCTCCCCCAAATCATTGGCAGGAGCTGCATAGATTGTCTGCTCACTTTAACCCACATTATATTGAGTCTGAAAGGAGGTGAAAACCAGTCGTTTAAAAAAAAATGTACTGACAGTTAATTAAGCATCAAAATATACTGTCTCCTCTCTCCATTCCCTTTGGTTCTATTCATAGATGATCCAGGGAGTGGCTCCTCTGATGTGCAGACCAACTTTTATCCCTTAACAACATACTTAAAAACAGATTAGCTGGTCATTATCACGTCATTCCTCTGGGAAATTGCTGTGGGTAAATTGACTGCTGTGTTTTCCACATTACAGCTGTGCATTGGCTTCAAAAAGCAGCTCATTGCTTATAATGTACTTTGAGCCATACAAGGCTCTTTAAGTATTTGAGAAATTGGACCTGGAATGTAAAATAGATTTCCATTCAAATTAAATTTTGATACATGATGCGTTTGGTTCACTGATCTTCATGTGTATTCACTGAGCAATTTTTGAACTTAACTTAAATGGCACCAGTCTAGGTTAGTCTAGTCTGATGCTGATGTTTGCCAGTTACCATTTTTACACTCCTGTATTCACACACATTATGACAGATCAAAGATGTATTCAGAGACCAACTCCATTTTTTGTCTGTCTTGCTGGACAGTATCATTATTTGATCTCATTTTGTAAGCATTTATCCTATCGGGCAGTTTTTTTTTGAAGCTCCCACAAAACACTGATCCCTAACATTCTCTTTGTCTTGTCCTACAGGTTTGATAATTTTGAGGACCCGACAGGGACGGTTGACAAATTCCATTATGGAACTCACTACTCCAATGCAGCCGGTGTCATGCACTACATGATACGGGTTGAGCCCTTCACTACTTTGCACATCCATCTACAAAGCGGCAGGTGAAGCTCTTCAAAATGCCTCTACTGTTTAATTATCAACATTAATGCAATAATAATGTAGTGGCCGCACCTCATTACATAGATGGCAGTGGTTCATAAAACAAATCACCACTACTTTCTCCAGGGCAGACTTAGATCAGCAGTAAGTGCTGGCCTGACTAGTATTACCAGCATTCCAAAAATGGCTGGTCTAATTAGAGATAACAAGGTGTAGAGCTGGATGAACACAGCAGGCCAAGCAGCATCATAGGAGCAGGAAGCCTTCCTGCTCCTATGATGCTGCTTGACCTGCTGTGTTCATCCA